ATTGCCCCCTGCCCGCCTCCAGAGCAGCTCTGTGCCTTTCCCTGCTGGGACAGCTGTTCCTGCAGCCATCTCAAGAGACTGCACCTGGGCTGCATTTTCTGCTGATCTGACCCATGCTGGCCGGTCCTGTGCTCCCAGGACAGAAAGCAACCCCCAGGGAGAGCCAGGAACAAAGCCCTGAATCTACCTGGACTTGGAGAGCAGCAAGCCAGAGACCTAGCTGGTGAGGGGGCCATGTTCTAGTGGGAGGCTCCAGCAAGGTCAAATAAAAGGAAAAAACACTTTCCTTCACCCCACGTCTGGAGTATTCCTTTGTTGAGCAGCCTCCTGACACCACTGGCTTTGCTCAAGCACCTCTATAATCATGACAGTCCCGTGCCCTGCCCTAAGAGCAGGCAGGGACGGGACCTCAGCCAAGGGAGTCCAGCCCGGCCAGGGAAGGGGGAATGAGCCTGGGAAGGCGGGGTGAGGCTGTGGAGAGGACAAGCGTAGTCAGTTCTCATTTCTCTTACCACAGACAGGGCCAAAATGTGGTCAGAGTCATCCTCCTTGTCCACCTGAAACGTGTACGATTTGGTGCTGGCAGTCAGCTCACAGCCTGGAAAAAGGAGATCAGAAAAGCTACAGCAGCCGTTACGCAGCCCCAAGCGCCACGGGCAAAGGGTTCCCAGGGTAAGCCCCGGCCAGGCACGCACACGGCATCCCTCAAACACTTCATTTTCAGGTGCAGCCTCAGGCCAGGGTGTCCTGGGCTCCAGGATAAAGTGTTCCCAAGAACCATGCACCTGGCTCAGCACCATACAGGGACAAAACCTGCTGTCTCCAAACCGGACTGCTGTGAAGCAGTGCCCAGGGGCACCCGAGGCATCCGAGGCCCCCGAGCACATGCAGGGCACAGCAGAGCGAGTGTACAGAAAGGCAGCTCCGCTCCCCCCACAGCCACCAAAATGTTTGCTCCGCTGAGAGTCTAGAGGCAAAGACATGGAGCATGAGACCCAAGTGATGAGGAACAACCCCAGGGGAGGACGCTGGCCAGGCTGCAGGGAGCTGGAGTCCCTCAAGGCAAGTCTCGAGATGGATTTTATTACATACTTCTCCAAATAGCTAAAAAAGACAAGGGAGATGCAAAATTATGTACTTGGCTCTTAGGATGAGGATTCAGCTGACCATGGGAAGGCAGAGTGCCCTGGGTGTGTTTGCTTTTTGCAGGATGATTCACCCGTGTGAAGCAGATCAGAACAACGCAGACCTGAGCCCTGCATACCAGACCCGGCGTTTGCAACGGGGAGAGCGGAATTAGCCTCAGCAAACACGGCCCAGGGCGGGACCGCTTCCTGACCGTGCTTATGTATTCTCCTCACCAGGGCAAGGACCGAAATCCAGGTGCATAAAAGGCCTCGGGGGCTGCTGCTCCGCTTTCCTTTTCGGTGCAAGCGTTTGCTGAGCCGCG